CCACGTTCTGGCGATCTTCAGCATGTTAAAGTGTCTGAGTCAAGTCAGACCCGACCGGGTGGGGTAGGGGACCCGACCGAGTGAGTGCAAAAATTGGATATTCTTCACGTTCGGGTGATCTCTGCACACCGGGTTGTCCCCGGTCACTTCTCACCCGACCGGGTGAGGTAGTGGGCCCGACCGGGCCATGCACTTTCTTTGCATTTTCGTTTTTCACTTCTTACCCGACCGGGTCAAGTATTATACCCGGTCGGGTATTTGCTCCTGGTCAGCCAAATCTTCTTTTTCTTTTCTTCAAAGTCTCCCTTTCCAAAACCACAAATCCTAACTAAACTTTACAACTGACAAATAAAGACTAAGATACAATTACAACTGAAATCACATAAATGTTTAAAAACTAAATAAAACGTCAAACAATTAACATAAATCAAACATAAAAACATGTAATTATGCACTACTAATTAGTGTGCATCAGTGGTCCTACATTTCAATATGAGTATATTTGAGGAATTGAAAGTGCGATTTCCCCTTTTATTCATTTTTCATTTTATTAATAAAATATATTTTAAATATAATTTTTTCATAAACCAGCAGAATCAGCCAACTCAGCCACTTCAATCAGAATTTCATAAATTTGAATCAGCCGATTAAATCCATTTCAATGTTATCAAATAGGCTCTCGATCTTGACGGGTGCTTGCTGCTAGTCAAATCAATTTATCAATGATGATAAATTGACTTGATATTGGCAAATGATTTTGACTTGATGATGAAAATATTTGATAATTGACAATATAATGTTCTAAAGGTGACATTCTGATCTTGTTTAATGTTTTAGACCACGTTGGGTAACTCATGCTTTCGACTTAACGGCCTTACTACTCAACTTTCTCACCAAATATGCAATTTTTAATTTTTCACGATGAATCATGTAATAATAAAAATAAGTAAGATTGAAGTTACTTAACTAACTGAATTTTTAGCCTTTTTTATTTTCCTTTCTTTTCTAAAGAAATGATTTTTTTATTAATGATAGAAAAAAGTACAATGCAAGAAAAGAAGAAAAACAAAAACGGAAAAAGAAAAGGAACTAAAAATCAAAGATGCTACACTAGATAACCCAACAAATTAGTGCATAGCGTGCTTAGTCATATCTTGGATCTGATGTGAGTGCTCCTTCTCTTTGGAATATAAGCGATTTTGGGCTCAACCAACTGATCCAATAGTTCTTGTTTCGATGGAAAGTTTCTTGGAGGAGTGTCGAAATCATCATTTGACAAATTTGCTTCCATAAGTTGTGAAGGGTCTCGCTCATTTCAGAGGTAGAGGTGTTCTGAGCTGGGATAAGCGCCTCAAAATCCTCCTCACTGAAGCCACAATTGTCCTCCTCTACGGATATGATCCGTGGTTTGATGGCACATGCTGCCTAAATAGAGTTATATTAGAGGTACAAAAACTTTTATAAAAAATCTTACAAAAGGGGTATGTGGCATCATCACATTATTTAACACATCACATCACATTTACAACACTTTTACATCAATGGTAATTAGAATAATCACATCACTTGTTTGTAAGTTTTTTTGTAAATGTGTTTGTACTTCTAGCATTTTTCGCCTAAATATCTAAATCAAACATCTTATTTGAGATAGAAATGGATTCCTCACATTCAGTGTTGCTTTCGAATTGAATGAATTTTTAGCTACATTTCATAATTCAACGGATTAAACAATTCATCCACTTTAATCAGAACTTCATCAATTTGAATAAAATCACCCGATTTAGTCAATTTCAATATTAAGCCAACTCACTCTTAATCTTATTTTAATCATTCTTTTATTTGTAAACGTTGTTTGGATTATTCTTTCTATATCATATAATGCCTTTTAACATTTTTGGTACATGTAGTATGCATTCACACAACACGTGGTGCCTCGTGCACATGTTGATTCTTTCTCATACATCTGGTTACTAGGCAATATCTCAATTCTCAACATACTATTTATTACTCTCTTCGTCCCCCAATTGTTCCATTTTTTCATTTTTAGATGTCCATCTATTATTGTATCATATCATATTTAGTAAAATTTGTGTGATTTTAATTCATTATTACTTTATTTCCACTTTATCAACTCATTATGAACCACATAATTCTACTTTTCTTAAAAATCACATCACTTCCTTATGTCCCAATATTAGGGGGGCGGAGGGAGTATTTATTTCACATTCGGTTGGATCACGGGTCGTCAAAAATAATTATCTGGTCCAACAATGAGAAAAGAAATAAGGGATTTTTTCACAAATAGACCAAAAAGTGAAAATAATACTCGTATCACTTTTATCACCCTTTATTTATTTCTTTTCAAAAGTAGACTTGTTGATATTTTCTTTTCACAAATAGACTATACAAAGTATAAAGCATTCGTTACTTGATTCTCCGTACTATGTAGGGTTGCTGCTCTCAACAAATACTTCATACATTAATACGAAGGTGTATTATGCATAAATACTTTGATTGTCCGTACTATGCAGGGCTGCTGTTTTCTTTTCAATGCATTTTTTTAAAAATAAAAAGATGTAAGAATTCATGTAAAATCCAAAAGGTGATAATAGATAGAAGGGAAAAGGTCAAATAGGCCCTCGAACTAAATTAAAAAGTGCAAATCACCCCTTATAAAGGAGGCACTGTTCGGCCGTCGTCATTTGGGGCGGTTCTCGGTGGAATTTTTTGATAAAATTTTTGAGCATCTTCTTCATTAAACCTAGTTTAGTCACACCAAATTTCAGCTAAAAAATCAACCGAGAAGACAATGAAATGAATTTTTGAAGATAATTGCGCTGTTAAACAACGCAGAAAACATTACAAAAAACTTACATTCCTCCTCTACCGACAAATGGAGTATTTTATTCCACACAAGTTAAACTTTCTGTTTACAAATATTTCATACCTCTGTATAATTGGCCCTCACAAAACGATATTTCTGCCGCATGAACTTCAAATATTCTTTTCTAGTATAAGCAGAAGAACAGCCTGTTCATATTGAGTTTTCAGATTAAAAAAAGTAATTTTATCAATCCAGGATCTGAAAGATAAACGAATTATCAATTCAGGACCTGAAAGATGAAATGTATCGATATAGGACTCGAATGATAGAAAACTATCAATCTATGACTTAAATGATTGATAACTACTATCCATTAGGACCTAACTTTTCATAAATTTTATTATTATTTTTTATTTTAAAAAATTTAAATAATATTTAGTTTTATTAAACTAATAAACTTTTGTGAAGAAACTTTCACCAAATATTAGCAATGGAATTAATAAAAAATTAAATAAATCAAAACCTATGAAATGTTAGGTCCTAGATTGATAATTTTTCATCTTTCGAGTCCTATACTGATACATTTCATCTTTCAGGTCCCGAATTGATAACTCGTCTATCTTTCGAGTCCCAGATCGATAAAATTCCATTAAAAAAAGAGTTAATGACCTATATAGGACTAAAATTAGTTCCATGTGCACAAGTAGGACCAGAAACGTAACTGATGTTTCGTAAGACTTAAAAGGGTCTGCTTTTCCAATTTTATCCTTGAAGTCTAATTAATTGCTTCTTACGCAAACAAGAGGTTTCGTAAGACCTGAGCCACCATATCAGCAGCCGCCCTCGTGGGCGGTGCCTGCCACCGCCCTCGCCGGCGCCGCTTACCACCGCAGCCCGATGGCACCCTCATCGCCACCGCCTGATGCCGCCCTTGTTGGCACCACCACCATCCAGCGTCGCCTGCCGCCTCCCTTGTTGGCTTCGCCACCATCCTTCACCACCATCACCATTAAGTTGACAGGTTTTCAAATCTGCCATAAAGTTGGTAGATTTATGTTGAAAGATTAACACAAAATCTCCCATAAATTTGGCAAAACTATGAATTCAGTATCCAAACATTTGAAAAATCAAAAATAATAATGGAATAAGTACGTTAGCACAACCAAAATTGAAACTAATGTCAAAAAATTGGAAAAATCATTTTACATAAATGCATTTTTGCCATAATCACTTGTCAATACACACATTTCTGCCATAAACTTGGCAAAATATGAAGATATCATCCAAAATTTTGGAAAATCAGAATTTTTTAAAAACTAAGAAATCGGATATTGGAAATAGAAAATAGAAATCCGAAAATTGGCAAAATCAATGTAAACATCCCTGAAAAACAGAGAAATAGAAGGAAAATAAAAAGAAAAAGAAGGAGCAAGAGGAGGAGGAAGAGAAGGAGGAGCAAAACCTCAACGACGACGGCGTGAGGGAGAGTGCATGCCGACAGCGGCGTATATGGCAGCGATGTACAAAGAGGAATCTATCGACCGTGTCGCGGAAGAAGCAGATCTGGTGTGCAACCGATCGATTGTGCGCAGGATGAGAGTCGATGGCGGGGTGAGAGAGAGAGTCGGCCGGCTGAAGTTGCTTCTGGTGCATAGGGGAGAAGCTTCTGGTGCGCAGCGTAAGTAGATCTGATGCCTGGTACAGGAGGTTGGGAGATATTTGGTCTAGGGTAGAGAAAATAACCGTATGGGCAAATTTGGCATGCAAATTTCTTTATGTTTCATAATAGGATTAAATTGGTCCTATTTAGAGGAAAAAAGATAAGAAGTCATATTTTTGCATTTCAGTCTTGTTTTAGTTCTATATGAGACAATTAAAAAATGAGGTTTTTACAAGAATATTATTAAAATAAAACATATTTACATAAATATGAGTGTTCATTACTACAATGTGATGTTGTGGTAACTAAAACTCAAAACTTGAACATGAATTACTGTGATTTCATTATTACTCTAGTCATTAGTCATATTTTTCTAAATCATCTTTATTTTGGTCATATTTATGTAATTATTTCTTAAAAAATTAATAACTAACAAAGATGGTGCCTCATATCACCATCCGGAATGTTATATACCCAGAAGTTTTTAAAAATGTTTAGTTTCTTTTTGTATTGTAATGTTTTTAGCTTTTGTGTACAAAAACTTTTTAATACTTCATATCATACCATACATATAACATATATTTCAATGTTATCATGAAAATAATACGGATCGGAGTGCATCGCGGGCACATGTATAATCCTAGTGTAAGTTACATTGTAACCGATCCTAGGCAGTTAAGCATTACAGTTTATATCTGAAATCGCATACCGCGTATACATCTGTATTACATTTCCCACAATCTTTTATCAATCTAATTAATATTTCTATTGGCCTTGAATTTGAACAAAAAAGCACAAAAATGGATCACGAAGCAGGAGAAGGAATCGGAATCAGAATATCCCCAGACTCATCTCTGCCGACGGGTCCACCCGACATGCCGGTGCCAGTGGGAGGTCGGAAAAAACGGGCAGTGGCGGCCGGGGTACAAAAAACACTCTCCAAAACGTCGCTGCTGGTGAACTTCCTCCCGACTGGAACGCTGCTAACCTTCGAGATGGTCCTCCCCAGCGTCTACGCCAAAGGGCAGTGCTCCTCCGTCAGCACCACCATGATCCTCGTCCTCCTGGCCCTCTGTGCCCTCTCCTGCTTCTTCTTCCACTTCACCGACAGCTTCCGGGGGCCAGACGGCCGGAAAGTGTACTACGGCTTTGTGACGCCTCGGGGGTTGGCGGTGTTCAAGAGCGACCCCGGAGTGGAAGTCCCCAAGGACGACCGGTACAAGGTTGGGTTCACGGACTTCGTGCATGCCGTGATGTCGGTGATGGTTTTCATGGCGATCGCGTTTTCCGACCACCGCGTGACGGACTGTTTGTTCCCCGGACATGGGAAGGAGATGGATGAAGTGATGCAGAGTTTCCCGTTGATGGTTGGGATTATTTGCAGTGGGCTGTTTCTTGTCTTTCCAAACACTCGCTATGGCATTGGTTGCTTGTCTGCCTAGTTAATTACTCCCTCATACTTTTAGTCATAAATTCAATGCTCATTTACCCATTTGAATAGTATGTAATTCTCTTTTTTTATGAAGTTTATGCTCTCATTTCAATGCAATCATCCAGATGTACTAAGCGCACACTACATTCGATTAATGGGAAACCGGTCGAGCGACAATATTTTTTGAATCTAGATGTCAAATCTCTAGTTATATTTAAATTCGGAGTTTGCAACTTTAAAGAGATTTTAATGTAATTTCTGAATATGTAAATTTTAATTATTAATAATCGAATTAATTATCAATATGAAAGATTTAACTTTAATATTGATTGACCAAAAAATGTTAACAATCTCTTGAACACAACTTTACTGTCGGCTTCAAACAATAGAATTTCCATAAAACTCCTTTTTTCAATTTCAATGTCCCTAATCTTTTTAGTTCCTAAAATACTCCTAAATTATCCATACACAAAATTTTAAGAAATTGTAATTATAAAATATTTATATTCAAAATTTATTTGAAATTTCAGCTTGTAATACGTAGTATTATTTGTTTATATTCACATTTTAATGATCACATCGGGAGTTTTTCGCACGTAGTGCACACACCACTAGTAACTCCATATGGGTTTTTAATGCACTTTCAAAAATAATGAGAGATAAAATGTAGGAGTGCTTTTAAATTTCACATAACACTACCAAAAAAACACGGAAATGACATGGATTTTGGCAAGGATTTGGGCAGGGATTATGCAAAATCCATGTCAAAAACACTTTGGATCGAACTATTTGGCATGAAAAGTCGATAATCTGTGCCAAATTTCGTGTCAATCTCGTGTTTTTTTTGTAGTGTAAATTATTCTTTGATAATATACTATATTGTTTCCATGCATTGTTAATTACTCCATTCATTTTTAGAATTAGTATCTTTAAGAAATACTTACCACTTCTTAATTAGAACAACGTAGTAAATTTTTTCTAAATTTGTCAAATGTATTAAGAAGGTAATCAGTTCTTTGTCAACCTCTCAAATGTATCCTATTGATTTCTTAGGAATAGGTATGAGAACACAATTGTTTGAATAAAGTATATCTTAACAAGACAAAGATACTCAAAACTTCTTAACCCTCCATTTTAAGGATGGCTTTTTATGTATATATATGGACATTGCATCATGATCCTCCCACCTAATTAAGGTGTGGTGACTTGCCATAATTATTCATCTCTCCGTTAGCACTAATTTCATAAATAAACAATAATAGTTTAAATAGTACTACGTACGTATGCGTTATTTTAAAGTTCTATTTCGATATTTTTATCCTTCATAAAAGAACATTAAAGTCCCTTAATTCTCCCCCCTTTCTCTTCTTGTACATTTTAGAGCCCGTTTGGTAACATTAAAATTGGCTGAATTGGTTGATTCTGCTGAAATTTATGATGTTCTGGCTGAAGTGGCTGTATTGGCTGATTTTGCTGATTTATGAAAAAATTATGTTTAAAATATTTGTTATTAATAAATTAAACAAAAAAATATATGAAAAAATAGCAAAAATGATCCTCTACAGTAACTTCAGCCAATACAGCCATAAACGTAACTCTAACCTTACTTTTTCAGCTTATTACAAAATTCAACGCGCGAAATAAAAAGTTAAGTGTTTGGTGAAAAAACTGGCTGATAAGCCTGATAAGCCGAAAAAAAAGGTCACCAAACGGGCTCTTAGTTTTGGTGTTCACTCAAGTTCTTAGTTTGGGCAAGAGTAGGGACCGCACGAGTCCCTACTCTTCCAGATTTTCATAAAGTATGTTAAATATCAATCTCAAATTATAAACAAAAACATCTATGAATAATTGGCATAGCTAAATTGGGTATATTAGGCTTGAATCACCCCAAATTTGAAAAGATTTAGGATGATTTTACTTGAATTGTAATTTGTTGGTCTGAACTGAGCTGATCTGTTTAAGTCTGGTCTGGGAGTGAAAATAGTACAAGTTAATACATCCTTATATTTTATGCGTCAGAACTATTATGTAAAAAATTATTAAAAAAAATTACGAATACATTTCAATATTTTTCTGGTTAAACTTCGACTAAAAATTATTACTGACCAATGAGCTGGTCGGGTCATCATGATTTACAATTTTTCATTATTCTATATGTTCCGTTGGGCCAAAACATGGAGCTCTTAGGATTGAGATTCATTTGGAGGAATTATAACCTAACCGGTTCATTAGGGTGTCTCTTTAAAGCTGAGCACGCCATAGCAAAATGAGAAGTAGACCGGGTTTATCCATGCAAAGAGTTCAAAAGTGAAACAAAAATGATGTTTGTACTTACTCTTATACTCACTTTTGTACTCACTTATGTTTGTGAAAGCTTTTTTTGTCTGTGAACATCTATTTACAGACAATATTTTACACAAACAAAATATTTTTTGTAAACCGGATTCACAGACAAAAAAACTTTTACAAACATGGTAAGTATAAAGACAATAGAAAGGAAACAACAAAACCAAAAGTTCTTCTAGCTTCTCATCCAAATTCTCGCCCTGTAATTAAACTAAAATTAGCTTTTGACCCAAAATCCTGTGTCAAACTTTCTGACCTTCCCGTCCTTAAAACCTCCTGCTACCTCTTCTTTCCCATAACTGAAGTCGCCATTCTTGCAATTTCCTTCTTTCCGTCCTTGTGGAGCTCGAAGTTTCGAACTACTCCCGTATTCGGTAACACAGGATTTGAGCTCAAGAAACAAAAAACAACAAATATTAAAATGAAGCCGCTAAACATTATATTTCTGGTTGTGTTGGTTGGAGCACTTCTTGAGAATCAAGTGGCTTCTAGTCTTGTTGAGAATGATAAACAAGCATTGCTCTCTTTCGCGAACAATCTCCACCATTCCAGATCCCTGAACTGGAATGCGGAGCTGCCAGTTTGCATGAACTGGACTGGAGTGGAGTGTAGTGAAGATGGGTCTAGAGTAATAGCATTGAGGCTACCTGGGGTTGGATTTAACGGTTCAATCCCTGTGAATACTCTCGGCCGTTTATCAGCATTGCAGATCTTGAGCCTCAGATCCAACGGTATTTCTGGAATCTTCCCTCTTGATTTTGGAAAGTTGAACAACTTGTCGTATCTTTATTTGCAGTACAACAATTTCTCTGGTCCTTTGCCTTTAGATTTCTCTGTTTGGAAGAACCTCTCGGTTGTTGACTTGTCTAGCAATAGGTTCAGTGGTAGCATTCCCATTACAGTGTCTGGTTTGAGTAACCTCACTTCTTTAAACCTTGCCAATAACTCAATCTCAGGAGAAATCCCTGACTTGAATTTGCCTAATCTGCAATATCTCAATTTGTCTTACAATAATCTTACTGGTATAGTGCCAAAGTCATTCCAAAGGTTTCCTAGGGCTGTGTTTGTGGGAAACAACGTTTCCTTGTTTGATGATTATGCTTCTTCAATTCCCGTGGTTTCTCTTCCTCTAGAACCAACCAGCAGTATTCCAAAGTCAAAGAGTTTCGGAAAATTGAGAGTGAGGGGAATTCTTTGGATTCTAGTTTCTGTTAGTGTTCTTGGGGTAGTGGGATTTGGTTGTCTGTTTCTTGTTTGTTGTCTTAGAAGACAAGACGATGAAGCATTCTTGGGGAAGTTGGAGAAAGGAGGCATGTCTCCAGGGAAGGCTGTTTCAGGGGCTGAAGATGCGAATAATGGATTGGTATTCTTTGAGGGTAGTAATTATGTGTTTGATTTGGAGGACCTCTTGAGAGCTTCTGCTGAGGTGCTTGGAAAGGGCACCTTTGGAATGACTTATAAGGCAATACTAGAGGACGCAATTACAGTAGTCGTGAAGAGGTTGAAGGATGTGGGAGTCGGGAAGAAGGAATTTGAGCAGCTGATGGAGGCAGTGGGAAGCATTAAGCATGAGAATGTGATTGAGCTTAGAGCTTATTACTATTCCAAAGAAGAGAAGCTCATTGTGTGTGACTACTCCAGCCTGGGAAGTGTTGCTGAAATGCTGCATGGTATGATTGCTTCTTTAATCATTCTTGTTTCTTGGTAATGATTTTGTTTATTTGTTAAATTTGAACTTCTTTATACCATTGTGTTTTACATACTGAATCTTTGATGTTATGGAATATGCTTGTAGACGGGTATATGTAAATAAGATTTACAAATGAGGAAAGGATGTACGTGTGAGATTGAAGAAGAAATTTCATTTGGGCGTGGGAAAAAAGTATTTGGCCCCAATGTGATTAATTTCAAAATGTACAAGGACTCATTGTAATATTTTCAAAAAAGAAAGGGCTTACTGAAAGAAAGTAAAAGATGAGGACCTCAAATGCTGAATACAAAATTTGGAAAGGATAGGGACCAAACGGTTTGTGTTTTTTTTCCTTTGGACATGAATGTCAAATCTAATCAATTAAAAAAAGAAACGATGGCCTAACAAATTCGACCTACTTGCCACTTGTTTTGGATAGCTCATTGATAGCTATCTGGCACTAGAAAAAAAGAAAATAGTATGAATAATATAATAGAGGTGGGGATTTTGTGGATTGTCACTCATGTGGCCTGGTAGAGCATATTTGCTGGGACAGAGAGGGTTTCTTTGTTAAAATGAGTACGTTTATGTTTGTCTCTATCCCAAATGCCAATCATTTTATTTATTGTCATTTGTCACCTTTGCTTTTGTCACTTTCCTTCAAGCTATTGTCATCTATTTGCTCTAAAAATCCCTACCTAGGAGCAGTAGAATTCCCTTGGCCTTCAACGTTTTATTCTTTTCAAATAGACCCACCTAATCCCATCTATGTTCCACGTGACTCTGCTGAACCCTCCCTTGAGCGCTTCGCACAAGTCTGCCGTCCGAATAATGTATCCTTCGGGCTTGTTTGGTTCGGGGACCTTGGAGGGGAGGGGAGGATATGATTGATTTTTGACTTTACCAACTTATATCTTTGTGGTACTTTTAGACTAAAAATAACTATCTATTGAGTTTTTTAAACTTCCCTTTCTTTTCAACCTTCTAATAGTTCTTCTAAATGTAGATGTTGTCTAAAAAATAGACAATCACCCCTCCCCTTCAACCCCTCTAAAATCCATGAACCAAACAAGCCATTATTGAGCATGTTATTCCGAAACATCTACTTCTACAATTCGGATCCTGCTTATAAATAAGTAG